TTATTTCAAAGTTTAAGATCTCATTAAAAAACCGTGAAATTTTTAGAATGGCATCTGTCTTTGTTTTTTAGTAATAAATTGTCAAAGTTTTAATTGCACTATCGCGCGCCGGCTCACAGTTGGATTTCTTTACAATTTACTGTTTAAAAATGACTACAGCCTACAATTTTTAACCGATTTGAGTGTTTTTTGTTTTAAATTAAAGGGGACATCCTGGGAGGCCATTTTTTTAAATATTAGTTGTTTATAATTTTTTATTTTAAAAAAATTAATACAATTTTTTTAAAAAGGACGTTTATTTTCTTATTCCGTTACTGCACATGATCTATATAAGTTAAAAATAATCCAATATATCCACCAGACAATTAATAAAATAAAGTAATTTATTTCAATTGTTATGAACAATATTAATTAACAAATAGTTAACTTTGATTCCTCTTCAATAAAAAATGTTTTTTTTCACATTTACTTTTATATTTAGGTTCATTTAAAGAATATATGTCCTCTCCTTGTTTAAATAAGTTATTTTTTAAACAAGTAGGACATGTATTTTTGAAATAAAATTAAATCAAAAAGAAAATGTGGAAAAAAACCTTTTTTAGTGAAGAGGAATCAAAGTTATCTATTTGTTTAATTATATTGTTTTTAACAATTTAAATAAGTTACGTTTTGAACGAGGAGGACATATAAATGATCCTAAATATAAAAGTAAATGTTAAAAAAAAACATTTTTTAGTGAACAGGAATCAAAGTTAACTTTTTGTTAATTAATATTGTTCATAACAATTTAAATAAATTATTTTGTTTTATTAATTGTCCGGTGGATATATTGGATTATTTTGAACTTATTTAGATCATGTGCAGTAACGGAATAAGAAAATAAACGTCCTTTTTAAAAAAATTGTATTAATTCTTTTAAAATAAAAAATTATAAACAATTAATATTTAAAAAATCGGCCTCCCAGAATATCCCCTTTAATTTAAAACAAAAAACACTCAAATCGGTTAAAAATTGTAGGCTGTAGTCATTTTTGAACAGTAAATTGTAAAAAAATCCAACTGTGAGCCGGCGCGCGATAGTGCAATTAAAACTTTGACAATTTATTACTAAAAAACAAAGACAGATGCCATTCTAAAAATTTCACGGTTTTTTAATGAGATCTTAAACTTTGAAATAAGATTTTTTTTAAACAAAATCTGATAGGGCTCATGCTTAAACATTAAAAATAAATATAATTTTATAAATAAATAATTAAAAAAATTGATATTTTTTAATTTTAAATTTTTTTTATTAAACTTCAATGGTTTTTACGTAAAAAAGGTTCTTAACAAATTTAATAAATTTTTAAAAATAAGTGAGTTATAATAAAATGAAAAAAACATGTCAAGAAATTTGCAATGCAAATATCTTGAAAAATAATAAAAATATTTAATTAAAATTTGGTATAGTTGTTTAGGACTTAAAATACTATTAATAAGCAAAATATTAAAAAAATCTGAGACATGAACCTTAACTCTTCTGTGAAATGACCCATAATATAAAGATAATTGTAAGTAAAAATCAATTATAACTATTGCTAAATAAATATAATATCTTATTTGGTCTAAACAAGATGTTAAATTGTTCTGAACCCATAGTTCTTATCTGCAATCCCTAATGAAATTCCTAAAAGTCCTAAATTAACAATAGATTGGTTAAATTAGATAAAAGAAAAAATTGAAAATTATTTATATTGGATAAAAACAAAGCTGGAAATTGATTAAATTGGATAAAAGGAAAAAAATTGAAAAATGGTTATATTGGATAAAAACAAAGCTGGAAATTAGTAAAATTGAATAAAAGGAAAAATTAGAAATTATTTATATTGGATATAAACCAACCTGGAAATTGGTTAAATTGGATAAAAGACAAAATTGGTTATATTGGATAAATACAAAGCTGGAAATTGGTTAAATTGCATAAAAGGAAAAAATTAGAAATTGGTTATATTGGATAAAAGGCAAAATTAGAAATAGGTTAACTTGGAAATTGGTTCTATTGGATAAAAACAAATCGGAAAAATTATTGGAAAAATTGGAAATTGGTTAACTTGGATAAAAGGAAAAATTGAAAATTGGTTAAATTGGATAAAAGGAAAAATTGGAAATTGGTTATATTGGATAAAAGGCAAAATTGGAAATTGGTTCTATTTGATAAAAACAAAGCTGGAAAATGGTTGAATTAGATAAAAACAAATCGGAAAAATTATTGGTAAAATTGTAAATTAGTTATATTGGATAAAAACAAAGCTGGAAGTTGGTTAAATTGAATAAAAGGAAAAATTGTAAATTGGTTAAATATTGGATAAGAGACAAAATTGGAATTTTGTTCTATTTGATAAAAACAAAGCTGAAAATTGGTTAAATAAGATAAAAGGGAAAGTTGGAAATTGGTTATATTGGATAAAAACAAAGCTGGAAATTGGTTAAATAGGATAAAAGAAAAAATTGGAAATTGGTTATATTGGATAAAAGGAAAAATTGGAAATTGGTTAATTATTGGATAAGAGACAAAATTGGAAATTGGTTAACTTGGAAATTGGTTCTATAGGATAAAAACAAATCAGAAAAATTATTGGAAAAATTGGAAATTGGTTAACTTGGAAATTGGTTCTATTGGATAAAAACAAACGGAAAAATTATTGGAAAAATTGGAAATTGGTTAACTTGGATAAAAGGAAAAATTGGAAATTTGTTACATTGGATAAAAGGAAAAATTGGAAATTGGTTATATTGGATAAAAGGCAAAATTGAAAATTGGTTCTATTTGATAAAAACAAAGCTGGAAATTGGTTGAATTGGATAAAAACAAATCGGAAAAATTAATTGTAAAATTGTAAATTGGTTATATTGGATGAAAACAAAGCTGAAAGTTGGTTAAATTGAATAAAAGAAAAAATTGTAAATTGGTTAAATATTGGATAAGAGACAAAATTGGAAATTGGTTCTATTTGATAAAAACAAAGCTGAAAATTGGTTAAATTAGATAATAAGAAAAATTGGAAATTAGTTAAATTGGATAAAAGGAAAAATTGGAAATTGGTTAAATTGGATAAAAGGAAAAAAATTGAAAAATGGTTATATTGGATAAAAACAAAGCTGGAAATTGGTTGAATTGGATGAAAACAAATCGGATAAATTATTGGAGAAATTGGAAATTGGTTAACTTGGAAATTGGTTCTATTGGATAAAAACTAACGAAAAAAATATTGGTAAAATTGTAAATTTGTTACATTGGATAAAAACAAAGCTGGAAGTTGGTTAAATTGAATAAAAGGAAAAATTGTAAATTGGTTAAATATTAGATAATAGACAAAATTGGAAATTGGTTCTATTTGATAAAAACAAAGCTGAAAATTGGTTAAATTAGATAAAAGGAAAAATTGGAAATTGGTTATATTGGATAAAAGGCAAAATTGGAAATTGGTTCTATTTGATAAAAAAAGCTGGAAATTGGTTGAATTGGATAAAAACAAATCGGAAAAATTATTGGTAAAATTGTAAATTGGTTATATTAAATTGTCGTCAAAGAAATAATAATAAAGCGTATGAACGACCAAATGGATTTATTGTTGATAATTAAACGATCAAACGAACTTACCTAAAAGTGAAGTTCGATCGTAATTATATGAATAAGCCTCGTTCAAGAGATTACAACTGTAGTACTTCCATCGTTGATGCTAGAGGCCACTACGTTTAGAGTTAGAATTTTTCCAAGTCCCTCTCCCTTGGCCCTTCTCTTCGTTTATCTTCATATTTTTAGAGTGTTTAAAATTGTCACATAAATTGGGATTTGGGGAAAAAGGAAATGGAATGTTTTGTTGGGTGGGAAAGTAATCTCTTGAACGAGGCTTATTCATATAATTACGATCGAACTTCACTTTTAGGTAAGTTCGTTTGATCGTTTAATTATATTTCATTTGCCTCGTTCCTTCGATTACAACTGTAGTTGTTTAGAGATACAGCAATTTTAAACTTGTTAAACAGAGTTTTATTGTTAACAAACAATTGAAAATTACACTTTTTTATTAATTCTTTTTTTTTTTTGTAGAAAATTACTAAACAAAAAATATCTAGGTCGATGAAACAATAACTGAGAAATAATCAACATCGTTTGTGATTATCGGCTTGTTATAAAATTTTGCGATTACAAAGGAATTATTTGTCCATCCGGCTGTTTTCCTAATAATGGATAAATCAACTCCCTTTAGCAATGCTGTCGATGTAGATGCATGCCTCGTAGAATACGACGAAAATATGGTGGTATCTATACCACTCGCGGTTAAACAATTTTTTATCTATCTACTAATGGTCTGAGCGGTAACTGCTTTATATGGCTTGTTTAACGTAATAAATAATTCATTAACATTATTTCGTATTTGTTTAGTATTTTCAATATAATCTTCTAAAACCGAAACAACACATAACGCAGGATCTTGTGTGAATTTTGTAAAGGTCAACAACGGTTGATATCGTCCTGGTCCAGACGTTTTTATAATATCAGGTATTTGTATTTCTATACCTCGTGGTGACGATTTAATATTAGACAGTTTGATCAATGATAGAGTTTGGGGTCTATGAGCTGTAGTCAGTGCAAGTAGAGTAACTAGTTTTTCTGTCAAAAGCTTTAAATTTAATGTAACTGATAAATTTAATGTAAGTAAGTAGTTTAATACAATTGAAACATCCCAGGTAAAATTGTATTTTGGCTTAGTTGGATTTAATCTAAATATTCCCTTTAAAAATCGTCTAATTAGGGGATCGTCGCCTATTTTGTCGTGTAAGATTAGGGAAACTGCAGACCTGTAAGTATTAATAGTGCCGTATGAAGCACCCTCTTGGAAGCGTTTGGTGAGAAAATTGAGTAAATCGTTTCGCGTTGGAGAATAAAAATCTAAATTATAATTGTTACAAAAATCCCACCACGCTCGCAAGGCTGATATATATTGCTTAACTGTATTTGGTGCCAAAGATGACAAAATAATGTCGATTGATTCAGTCGGGATGTTTTTATTTATGAACGCCTTCCTGAGACTCTGCATGCCATCAAAGATAGTTGCTGAGCCTGAGGGTGCATTTTGGTCCTGCAAGGTGATATTAATAGATTATTATTTGAGCTGAAAATAATAGGTTCATCTATTATTAAATTTAATAGTAATGGATACCACGATTGATTTGGCCAATGGGGTGTAACAATAATTCCTTCGGATTTGTCATTTTTAATTTTTACAAGAGTTTTTAGAATTAAACTAAATGGAGGAAATGCGTAAAAATTTAAATGTGTCCATTTCACAGTAAATGCGTCTATTTGCAATGCTCCGTAGTCAGGTTTCCAAGAGAAAAAATTTGTGCATTTAGAATTAAGATGCGTTGCGAATAAATCATAATCGGGAGTTCCAAAGTTTTGTACAATAATTTCATAATAATTTTGATTTAGTTCCCATTCCGTATCGATATTTTTTATTCTGGATAAAAAATCAGCCTGTTTATTATCTGCAGATGCGATGTAACTCGCAAAAATAAAGATTTTTCTTTTTTCTAAGAATTTCCAAATGTCTTTAGCTAATTTATTGTATGCATAGAATCGAGTACCGCACATTTTATTAACGTAAGACAGTGCCGTAGTGTTGTCAGTCCGTAAAAGTACTTGGCAGTTTCGTTTGTCAAGTAAAAATTGATGTACCGCGAATCTAGATATATGACGGAAGTTAAACCATTCTGTCTCAAATGATTTATTACAGGTTTCATTAATTTTGTATATATAAATGGGCTTAAATTTAAACCAAAAGGTAAGCATGTGAACTCGTAAAGGGTACCTAAAAATTCAAATCTCAAATATTTCCGACTTTCCTTGTGAATTGGGACAAGAAGAAAGGCATCTTCTAAGTCAATTTTCCCCATATAATAATTGGGAAACATTAATTTTGCAGCTGTTCGTATATCTTCCATTTTTAAGTGGCTAGTTTTTATAAATTTGTTGAGTTTTTTCAAATTAAAGATAAATCGATAGGAACCGTCTGGCTTGGGGACTAAAAAGTAACTTGAGAGAAATTGATTTTTATGAGGCTTAGCTTTTCGTATTGCTCCCTTCTGGTATAAATTATTAATTGCATGCTTATAATTTTTAATTTCTTTAGAACTATTAATTCGAATAATTGGAACTCTTTTTTGTATTATTTTTTTGAAAAATTTAATTTTGTACCCTTTAAGCCATTTTCATATGCATTTATTAGAAGTTATTTTTTCCCATTGGGGTAAAAAAAATTTTAATCTACCTGCTACATTACCTACATTTATTTGGGTCGCTGCTGGTTTCTCTGTCTGTTTTGACCTTGATATGGTGCCCTTGGGTTGAATGGCTGCTTTGTCTTGAAGTATAGACGTCTGTTTTGAAAATTTTGTTGAGTTCCCGATGTGCTCGGAGTTGGCCATTTTGGATGTTGATTGTTGTAGTTTAAATTTTTAGTCACAGGAATTTTTGGTTTTAATTGCTTTTTTATGGAGGAGGCTACTTTGTCCATAGCTTTAGCTTCTTTAATCCTTTTAGACAAATTTTTACCAAATAGGAATTCCTCAGTTTGTCTGTCTTCCAAGAGAGCCTTAGTTTCTTTATCGAGACCCGCTAGAATGAAAGCTATTCTAGACTTCGTTTGACTATAGAAAATTTCTGTAAGGATTTTTCCTATGTCATTCATTCTCTCCATAAAGATCAATTTGTCGATACTTTCGGTATCATCCATCAAAGACGACATTGCAGATCCTAAAGACGTTAATGCTGCACCAATTAATCTTTGTCTTTTTGTCATGTGACTATCTCGAGTTTTTGAGTGTTTGGCTAATTTTAATAATATCTCAGGGTTGAGTTTTGGCTCTTCTAACCCTGTAGGACTTTGATATTTTTCTAGGAGTTTTTCGACATCATCCGCTTTTTGACCTTTTGAGGCCCAAAATTTCCATCTACTCAAAATGCCAGAGTGCAATTTTGATTCAATCGCTTTTGAAGCGTTAGGATCTAAACCGAAAATTTCTGCAAATTCTTCGTTCATTGGTATTTCACCATTATTTTCCTCCTGTTTTTTGGTGGAAGGGTCGCCTTCACCTTTGACATTGTCATTTTCTATAAAAACAGAAAATAATATTTGGTTTTAATTACGTCCTGCGAGCGAAATTAACTTTTGGGTAGGAGTAAATTTACTGCCTGGTTGAAAGGAAATTGTTTCCTTTTATTAGAGATAAAATGCGGAATATTATTCCGAAATAATGAGCACGTTTTACAAGCGTGTTTACAAATTTTTCTTAAACAAGAGTCTAGAGGTCATTGTAAACAATGAGAGTTTAAATGAGGTAAACATTGTATAGGAAAGATAAATTTGACTATTCTTCGAGAAAATTATTGAGAAATAAAATTACTTATAAATTTTTTAAAATAATTTGTAATACCAATAACCAATAGTCAATTTTTATAATAGTATAATCATAAAATTATGTTTTATTTTTTCATATTTTATTTTTTCATATATGCATTCACATACGTATACACATTTTTGATTGCATATACGTATATAGCATATTTTATTTAATAAAATAATGTACAGGATTATGCAAATATTTTATCTTACCCTTTGATGACTGCCGATCGGGATCAGTTTCGGGGTCCTCGTCTTCGCTGAGATGATCTCTCACTTCCTCGGTGGAACTGCTATCCACATCACTTTCTGGATCACTCGCGTCACCAATTACATTTTTCATAGTTTCTTGTATTAATTTAAACTGTTTCTTTAAATGTTCCACTTCTACCGGGCTAACACTTTTTCGCTTTACCATTTTAATTTCGAAAATTGAAAATATTGAGAAACACGTGTGACCTCCAGCGCACTACGAAAGAATATGAAGATAAACGAAGAGAAGGGCCAAGGGAGAGGGACTTGGAAAAATTCTAACTCTAAACGTAGTGGCCTCTAGCATCAACGATGGAAGTACTACAGTTGTAATCGAAGGAACGAGGCAAATGAAATATAATTCTAATGTTGTTCCGTATTGCCCTAAACTTTCAGAAATATTTAATTGCCATATTAATGTAGAAATAGTTTCGAGTATCAAGTCTGTTAAATATTTATATAAATATATTCTCAAAGAGCATGATGATGCATCTATTGTTATCACAAATGCGAATGCTGAGGTCACTGTTAATCATAATGAAATGTATCATTATGAAGAAAATAGATATGTTAGTCCAGTTGAGGCAGTTTGTAGAATACTGAGTAAACCTTTAGAGAAAAAGAGTCATAGATAGTAATGCTCAAAAGTATTATTATTATTACCGATCTTGCAGTTGATCCTGCGGTTGCTCTTGTTGTTGATGCTGCGTTTGCTTCTATTGAAAATGCCACACAAGAGACAGGAAACGGTAAATATACAAAAAAGAAACAGTTATCGAGTAATAATGGGTGAATTAGAGTATCGTCAACTGGGGCTGTTTTGTGCACGCGAGTTTTTTAATGAATAAAATTATTAAAATGAATTATTTTAATCTGCTATTTTGTAAAATGATGATGAAAGTTTGATTACATGACAATAGAGAGCACTAAATGTTATTATTTATTACTTTGTCAATTAAGAGAAAAAAATTCCTAAAAACGGAAAATTTGTGTCAAACATTTTGAAAGTTCGGAAAAATTATACCAGATCTTCTAGAGTTTTAATGTGTCTCATAAACTGAGTTAGGTATTTGTTGTCAATTGTGTTGTGATGATACATACATAATGTGCTAACTTTTTATTTATTATTTTAAGACAAAAGTGGAAAAAACTGAAAAACCAGGATTCCATAGGGCTATTTTGTGCACTTAAAAAAATTAAATATTTTTCATAAATGTTTTATTTAGTAAGTAAAGAAGATTTTGTGTATCATTTTTATACATTTTTGTCTTACTTTTATGTCAAAAATCTGTAAATACGTTAATTAAAACGATTAAAACCTCAACCGGTGCGCAACGTAACCTCAAAAAATGAACTTTAATTAATATTTATAAGTTTCTCAAATTAGTTTTAAAACTATTTTCTCGTTTCTCTTAAAATAACTTGAGAAGTATATAAGATATTACGTTGTTATCTATTTAACCTTAAAAATATTTATTTCAAGTTTTTTAAAAATATCAAAGTCATTTCACGTCAGAAATATCACGATTTGCAAAGGGTCTGCCGATTTTCGCAAAACTTCGTGGGATTATAGTTCTATATAAGAGACTTCTTTCCCACAAATTTAAAAAAAAATTCAAAATTGTTGAAGATACGCCATTTTGAATTTTAATATTAATTTTTGTAAAATTTTAAATATCTCGGAATATTGTTTATGGATTTTTATGAAATTTACACACTTTTAAGGTAAAAGTATGTACTTTAAAATTCAAATAAAGTTTTTTTAAAAAAATTAATTTTTAAATAAAAAAATTGAAACAAAAGTTTTAAACAATTTTTTGTTTATTTACTCCTCTCCGAGAAAAATGTTATTAACATATTTGGTGTATTCCACGTCAGTTCAACACAAAAAATTTTATTAGGTTTTGGGATTCGGTTGAAATTGGGTAGATTATATCCTCTGGTGGTAATAAATAAAATCCCCAAGCGATTTTAAAAAATTTCAAAAATTGGAGGACATATTGGATTTTTAATTTTTTTGTACTTTTTTTTGAAAAATATATATCTCTGCTTGTTCTTAACGGATTTTAGTTTATGACCTCTTACATTGTTCGTATTGAAATATACTTTTATTTAAAAAATTAAAATTAAAAAAATTATTTAAATTTTTTGTTTAAAAAATTAATATAATTTTTTGAAAAGCCATAGAAAAATATGCTACCTTGAATTTTGATCATTTTTTTACCATTTGTAGCCATAAATGTGTTGAACTTGTCCTAAAATTTTCATCGTAGGACAGCCAGTAGTTTTTGAGAAAAAAAATAAAACGTAAATCCTCGCATAGCGCTGTAGCGCTCAATTTTAATGCCGCACGATTGTAAATGGAATTTTAATGAAAGTACGAGTTTTTATTAACCCTAGAACTAAAATATGATTTTTTATAGACTAACGAAAAACTGGGGTGGTTTGGTACCCCAGATTTGAAACAATTGTAAAAGGTTACCTTTTTTGTAATTTTTTTAATTTGTCAACAATGTGGCTAATTTGAAAAAATTAAACGGATTTTAAAAGGTAAATAAAGAAAAACTGTAAGACCTCGGAAACTCCCCCGTAAAAGTAGAAACCTCCTTTGTAATAAATGATTTTTATTCTATTTTAAAATCATTTAACATTTGTATATATTGTAAATAATATTTAAATTTTCAAGTTGCCTTAATCAAAATAAAATTGTCTCTATTTACCTTTTAAAATCCGTTTAATTTTTTCAAATTAGCCACATTGTTGACAAATTAAAAAAATTACAAAAAAGGTAACCTTTTACAATTGTTTCAAATCTGGGGTACCAAACCACCCCAGTTTTTCGTTAGTCTTTAAAAAAATCATATTTTAGTTCTAGGGTTAATAAAAACTCGAACTTTCATTAAAATTCCATTTACAATCGTGCGGCATTAAAACTGAGCGCTACAGCGCTATGCGAGGATTTACGTTTTATTTTTTTTCTCAAAAACTACTGGCTGTCCCACGATGAAAATTTCAGGACAAGTTCAACACATTTATGGCTACAAATGGTAAAAAAATGATCAAAATTGAAGGTAGCATATTTTTTCTATGGCTTTTCAAAAAATTATATTAATTTTTTAAACAAAAAATTTAAATAATTTTTTTAATTTTAATTTTTTAAATAAAAGTATATTTCAATACGAACAATTTAAGAGGTCATAAACTAAAATCCGTTAAGAACAAGCAGAGATATATATTTTTCAAAAAAAAAGTACAAAAAAATTAGAAATCCAATATGTCCGCTAATTTTTGAAATTTTTTAAAATCGCTTGGGGATTTTATTTATTACCACCAGAGGATATAATCTACCCAATTTCAACCGAATCCCAAAACCTAATAAAATTTTTTTATTAACTTTATTTGCATTTTGAAGTACATACTTTTACCTGAAAAATATGTAAATTTCATAAAAATCCATAATTAATATTCCGAGATATTCAAAATTTTACAAAATTAATATTAAAATTCAAAATGGCGTATCTTCAACAATTTTGAATTTTTTTTGAAAAAATTTGGGGGAAAGAAGTCTCTTATATAGAACTATAATCCCACGAAGGTTTGCGAAAATCGGCAGACCCTTTGCAAATAGTGATATTTCTGACGTGAAATGCCTCATCATTCAAAACCATTAAAAAAATCCTATTGAAATGATGTTTTAAAGTTATTTATAGGTGTTAAAACGATCAATTTATAATTATATTAATATATTATTATAAAATATATAGGGTAATGTCACCTTGAGTGGACCGCCTAAGCTTTTTTTCTAAAAAAATTCTTTATGACAGCAAATTAATCGTAGGTTTCTATTCCAAGCTTTAGTTTAGATCCCTAGGTAAGTGTTTATACCATAATAGCTTTGATTTTTTTTTATTTGGGAAAAACAATTGACTTTAAAAAAATAGCTCATTTTTAAGGAATGAAAAAAGTGTAACCTTGAGTGGACCACTCTTAAAAAATTGTAAAAGTTATTCTGAATTCTTTAATGTATTTAATATTTCTGATATATTGAAACAAAATTTATGCTTCTGCAGCTTCAGACCATGTTTGTGTCGCAATGTTTACAAGTGAAACCATTTTCAATAATTTTGGCACATATCACATCAAAATCACAAAAAAATTAATAAAGAACATAAAACAGTTTCAAACCAATTTATTGTCAATTTATTTCCATAAAAATGTTAAACTGACATTAAAAATATAAAAAACAGGCAGTCCACTCATGGTTATAAACTGTGGTCCACTCATGGTGACATGCAACTTTTTATGGCAGACACCAAAATTTTTTTTTGAGTCATAATTATCACCTTATTAAACTAAGACAATCAATTTCAATGTCCAAAGTAGTAGGAAAAAAATAAGTTACCTTTTAAAACTTAAATTTTACACTACTTTTACACTTCCGAATCACTTTACTTATTGTAAGAGCGACTTCTTTTTTAGTTTGTGTTCTTAAAAATGCGTTACATGAAACGATAACGTATATGATTATCGCAGAACATAAATTCTTACGGCTTCTAGGTGCGGTGCTGCTATTCGTTTTATTTATTTCACGTTTCCGCTGTCAGATAACTTAAAAACTCAGGTGGTTTACTCAAAGTGGCGGTCCACTCAATGTGACATTACCCTATTAAAAAAGAAAAAAATGTTATTTAATATTCGCGTAATATACAGTTTAAAGAAAGATTGTTAATTTTTAGTAAATCTAGATTTTAGCAAAATCTTAGTGTTTTATTTTACATTTTTTTGTATAATATCTACAAAAAAAATTTTACTAGGTCATTCTTTTTTATTTACTCTTAAATATATACACAAAAGATTTAATAAAGCAGAAACGATTAAAAAAATGTATACGCAACATTATAGAAAGACAAAGTTCGATGCACAAAATAGCCTCATCCCGGGAACTATTGTGTGCACGACTTTCAATGACTATAACATAGGCAAAAAATTTTTTTCTTTGCCAAATTTATAGAAAACCTTCAGGAGGATGTCCACAACATATATCAAAAGTTGATTTTCTTTATTCTTTTAATTCTGAATTTTAATAAATCTTTGAGTAAAAAAAAAGCTATTTGGTGCACAAAATAGCCCCGGTTGACGGTAGATTATCATTTTAATGTAGCCACCTGCCTTTAACAACATATACTAGGTGGCTACATCAAAAAAGAACTTACTATATAAATAAACAAATTTCATTTCTAGAATTCGAAAGAAAAATCTTATTTAAAATGAAAAAAGAAATTGTTAAACCTTCTTCTGAAAACATTTTTTACTAAAATGTATTAAAAGTCCATTATTTTTGGAGAGTTTTCCACTAGTTGAAAAATAATTTACGATTTGCTCTGGAAGACATATTTTTCTCTTTTTTTGCCAGAAATGTTTCCTACTAACATTGGTTAAAAATACATCACCTTCGGAAATTATTCCGTAAATTAAAGAATAATTTCCATCTTCGGAGATTAATCCGTATATTGATGAATAATGACTGTGAATTG